TGTACAATAAGGAACACGATCAATAGCTTTGCCAATAGGACCAAAATTATCCCAAAGATGATTACCTCCTTTATTTGATGAATCAATTTGCTTAAAAAATAGGATTCCTATTTTATTCCCTGATTTATTTTAAATAAAAATATTCATTCTTCTTTTTTATGCTTTTCCCGAGAATTAAAGCGAACCAATTTCCCCGCTTCATTTTTTGACTCAGTGTATCTAGAATTCGGAATCGTAGCCTATATTCACATCAACTGCCTCCAAAATTGTCACTGAAAGTCAAATTGGTGGCTGTCACAAATGGACTACGTCAATGACAGCAAGAAAGGTAAGGAAAATAAATGTCAAAACTGATTTTTTTTTTCGAAATTACGCCCCCCTCACGCGATCTTTTCTTTGAGTGCTGATGTGAAAGGAGAAGGAAAATTTTAATGACTTGAAAAAAATAACGGTAATTCATTTTCTCACCTGTGTCCTCCGACCTTGATGCCGTGTTCGAAGCCGAACCCACCGTGGTGCCCATGGCCGTACCCGTGCCCGTGTCCGTACCCGTGTGCGTACCCGTGTCCGTGGTGCTTGTGGGCATAGCCGTGATGATGGGGACCCACGTGAACCCGCACGTGAGCAGCGGGTTTCCCGTGATGACCGAATTCGAAACCCCATCCGTAGTGTCCATGGTTGTGTCCGTGTCCGTAGTGACTGAAGACAAAGGGGGGATCAATCAAATTCAACCCATTTTCGGAACAGTACATCAGTAAAAAAAAAGTGTATAGTATTTACCCAATTACTAAACGCACTTTCTTCTCCGAGAATGTATGCAACGAATGAGGTGCGTGTCTTATTTGAATCTATCCGACAAAAAAATCTAGAAACTATAGGACTGGCAAAGCGTCTGAATTTCGGATCTGAAAAAAATATTTGAATTGTTTTTCCCTCGTGATTTTACTGCATATATACAGTACTAGGATAAATATAAATGACCACAAGTCCACTAATTCATAGCAAATTATAATGCATTTTAATTCGACTTTAAATTATCAAATGTTAATTGATGCAATTTTTGAATATCAAAATGTTTGGCATATTGGCAACATTATGGCTTGCTTATTTTTTTAATTTCACTTGAAAAATCTAGGCTATGTGTATTAATTGAAGGCTTGTGGTAATAAAGTAAATAGAGTTTTTCAATAAAATATGATTATTGTCTTCTTGTTTTGTAAAAAGAAACTATTTTTTGCCAAGAAATTTTCCGGAGGAAAAAAATAAACGACCGAACATAACCAGTTGATTTCCGGTCCACAGTTAAACATTTCAACAAGATCGCTTTCGAAGCAAAATCATTTTAACTTTTTGTGATGACTGCTTGCGAAATTAAAATTGTGAAAGCTTTTTTTAACGACAACTTCGACAAAATTCCGAGCAGTCCTTTCTTATAATTCAGTCCACCAATTTACTCCTGCTCTATAATATGTACAACTGTCAAAACGGTTGCTTTCGAAACGTTTGCGAGAATTTTCAGACAAAATGATGGGAAAGTCCGCGAAATTATGTAATGTTGAAGATTACTATACCTGGGTGTAGGTCCACTTTCAACTTGGGCCATCAGGACGAGAGCAACGACAGCAAAAGTCAGCATCATCATCATACTGCTTGCCTATAGAAAGAGAAAGAATAGCGAAGAAATATTCAAGTATTTATTTCTAAAGAACCCCGAAGCGCGAATGACCACCAAACTTCAATTGGCAAATAAGACCATCAGCATCCCTAAATTTTGCCTCATTTATATTTTCTTCTAGAAACTTTTTTTTTTTTATGGTGCCTCTAGCATTTATTGACCAATGGGAGGCCTCATTTCCGCTTTTTCTTTTCCTTTCTAACACTCGTATTATTATTGCGTCACGTGTTGCTTTCGTGAAGCAGGGCATCCATAAACACGTTGGTCACGGTTCGTCGATTTTCTGATGAAGTCGGCTAAGCGAGTGGGAAGGAATATTTATAAGCCAAGTTTTTTTGTTTTGTTTTGTTTGTACTGTATCTTGTTTTCGTTATGGGAGGAGAATGTTCATGGTTTTCTCTTCTGAACAATTTTTTTGTTTACCACTAGGTTAGAAAAGGTATCGTGAAACGTTTCGTCACATGGGGGCTCCGCTTAAAATTAAAACTCCCCCGGAAACGAATCCGTCAAAATGCTTGCTTCCTTTTCTTTTGCTCTCGGATTTTTCTTAGTTTTAGTCCTGATACCGCCTTACGTGAAAGCAAATTAGCCTCGGGCAAGTTTGGAGAAAATTCGACGAGGGGAAGAAACTTGGGAATATAATCTTGAAATTTGTTTAAAGACATTTTTAGCGCAATGAAAGAAACGATGCTCACCTTGGTAAACATTTTTTTGTTTTGTTTTGGTGCACTTGGTTATTCGCTTCGAATCAAATAAAAGTTGAGCCTATAAAAAACAAGTTTTCAAAGATGTATACGATTCCGAGTGAATGCGCGAATTAAATTCAAAAATATATCACTGAAAACTGAGATTTATTCCTTGTGGGCCACTGCTGGAGGAGATTTTTCACCGGTAAAAATGCAAGTTACGTTGTTTGAACTAAAGTTTTTTTCAAAGTTCTTTCAATTGGTTTCAAGTGAAGCTTTCAACTGCCGAAGTCGATTGGATCTGTTTCATTCTCGGCCCCCCGCAGAAGTTTAAATACCCGAAAGTTTGCAATTGTTTCGCATTTGACCTTCATACCTCGTTAGACGCCTAAATGAATCCCCCCCTCCCTCCAATACAAACTCCAATCACCAAATTTGCCCAACTGAAGCAACTAAAAGAAAAACAAGAGGCAGTTGGAGTGAATTTAGGGTGGACCCTAATTGAATCACTGCTTCAATGAGCACGAACCGGTGCGGGAATTAGCAAAGCAATTGCCTAAGGCGCGATTCTTCATGTTTTGAAATATCCACGTCACTTGTTCTCTTTTACAAAAAAAAATTGAATCACAACCATCAAATATATCTTCATGAAGATGCATTCTTCAAACAGATGTTTTTTCAACAAATTTTATTTCTAAGATTTTATTTCGTCATCGATGGCTTTCTCGTCGAAAGCAGTGGAATTTTTGTTGAGTCACAGTATCGTGTTTGTTGCAATGTCCGCTACATTGAGTAATTCGGAGAAAAACGGACTAGTTCAGGATTTTGTGAAGAAAATCAACCTTCGTGCCTGGACCCGACATCACATCAAGTTCAGCAAAAGTCAACACAAAACATGAATTACTTCATTAGTCATTTAAAAGATTATTGTGACGAAAATAAAAAGGTTGAATTATTAGGATGAAAAATCGTCTCTTTACGCATCACACAGGCAGAACAAAGTGAACGAAAGCTGATTCATGTCTGCAAAAAATAAAAACCTCATAAAACTTTCATCAGCGCGATAATCGTTTTTTTAGACGTGTCAGTTCGGACTCGGAGGAATACACGACAAATTTACTCGGTTACTCTTTTACCTACTCTTAAATTACTTTTAGTCTCAGGAAAAAAAACGTAATAAAGTCGAATAATTGTATCCCGGATTAATGGTTCTTTTGGAAAAACTCATATTGTTTTCGATATATGAAGGCTTGAAGGTTCGAGGGCAACTTGCTCTGTTGGAGAGCCCCACATTTCAACAAAAATTGAAACAATTGTTGCCCAGGTTAGTGTTTGATGGAATTTCAATTGAAAATTGTTTGTGGAGATACTGAAAAATGAATGAATTTTTATTTTTCGAGACGTGCTAAATGTGGACAATGCAGTACAGTATTTCAGTTTTAGATGAGATGATGTCAATTTCTATCAGGGTGTGAATGAATTTTCTTCCGCGGAAATAGCGAAGGATTTTGAAAGATTTTCCCCGAATAATATTTTGAAGATCGAAGTTCTCACATAAAATTTTAGGAATAAGGAGGTAACGTTAGGAAATGGAATTTTGAAAGCAGTAGCTCTACTTCGCTTCAACGTAATTACTTGACAATCTTGCGTTGATCTTCGTAGATGTTATTTCGACTGCAATTTGCATTATGCCAGTTGAATTAGCTGAAATTGATTTTTCCAAGGAAATTAATTACATTTACTTTTCTGTTATTCATTTCACACTCGAATTGGACACGAAGTAGACATCAGCGAAAGTTTTAAAACTGTCATTTGAATAAATGTATTGTTGCCGAAAAACGGCTGGAACTCCTTCGCCTCCTGTCCAAAGAATATGATTACGTAACATAAGTACATAAAGAACTTTTGCAGAGACATATCCTACAGTTCAGAATTTATCTCGGTTATTTTAAAATACTCTGGATTTTCCAACATTTCCAGCATTCCTCACGAGAAAAAACTTTGTTGAGAGAATAAAAAATTCAATTAAAATTATCCGTTGAACCGAATCGAATGCGGTCTTGAAAGAGAGCCGAATCATGACAATAAATTGAGACAGGTGTGCGTGAGGTCAAGTCTTAAGACTCCGTCGAAGTTGAATAATGAAAGGTCGCAAGAAATGCTAAAGCATGAAAAAAGCTCCAATTTCAAGAAATAAAAATCCCGCGACTAAAATACTTCCTGCACGAAGGGTCTATTTTTTAAATATTTCGCATGTATTATAAGTTCCGGTGCATTAATTTCGCTCACGCAAACCCGCGCAGGATTCATGCACAGGCGACACCTACGAGAGGATAACGAAACATTCTGCTATTTTCGGGCACTCACGGCTCGACCTGGAAATCTTACCAAAAATTAGAATTTTAGCTTATATCAGAACCTATCCTCAGGAAATGTAATTTCGCATACTAGTGCGGTAGTTTGTCTTGGTGACATCTGGATGAAGAAATACTAGTACTGTACATGTAGAATAAAGTCCTGGAATATTTGTAGCTCCACAGCTTCTTCAGAGAAAATACCAAACCCTCTTTAACTTAAAAATACAAAACATATATATAAATCCGTCTCCTTTTTTCTTTCTTTTACACAGACTTCGAAACATGGAAGAAGGCGAAGACCACGACGCCCTGCTGTTTTTCCAGACCATGGACGCCCAGCAGGCTGATGACACGCCAACTGACGAGAGCCCCGTGGCGTCCACGTCGACGGCGGCGTCGGGGGCGCCTCGGTCCGACTGGCTGTCGACCGTTTTCAAGGACCCCAGGGCACTGATTACGCCTTCACTAGAAATGCTTTCCTGGTCACAGGCTTCGGATACTAAACTGGATCGCATTGAACGATTGATCATGTCTAGAATGAGCCGGCAACACACTGCCCAACACATCCCGATTCACACGTCTTCTCGACGTCCAGATCCTTTCACCAGGGAACTCTTGCTTGATGTAAACTTAAACGATTTT